AAAACTGCTTTTTCATTTTCTGATACATTTTTACTACAGTGGAGTTATGCTAGCACTGCATGAACACACCAGGGATACTAGTGCATTTTAATAAAAGCAGAAAGAAGAAGTCATTAATGAATTCACAGCAATTTCTATACTTTGGACTGCAGTGGAGCCTCTGGCAGCAAGTTCTGGTTGCATGCTTGACATTTCTGCTTTGAGTTTAGAGCAGACTAAGAAAACTTTGTGTTTACATGTAACTCAAATTTAGCAACACATTAAACTTTGAGCGTAAAATGTGGCTTGCAAACTTTAACACTAGCAGCAGTGTCATTGTGAGCATGTTGGACTGCTGACGTTAGCATTTAGCACAAAGCATCGATGTGTTGTGATTGTTATAAGAACTGGACGCTGGATTCAAAGACCGTTCCTCCTCAGCAGCAATTAACATGCCTGTCAGCCCATAAGACAAAAAGACACTATTTTCAGGTAAATGATGTCGTCGTGTCACTTCTTTGGGATTTTTATTTTAAGCAGAACTGCTGTGGCTACAGTGTTAATCAAGCTGCTTGGACTTGGTCATAAATTCTCTTCATTATGAGTTTTATTGATCTCAGCTCGATGATTAAACCACAAAGACGGTCTCCACAGTTTCAATCTTTTAATAGGTACAGTAAGAAAATGCTGCTGTAGTTGAGCACTCAGTGACGCCAACGACATCAAAAAGTTTCAGAATCTCTGGAAAGCAGTGAGCACTGAGCGGGAACTTTTTCCTGTTTCGATTGACACGGCATTTAATTTAGACGCTGTTAATATCATTGGAAATGCAGTTCCTCAAAATGTTCTCGGTTCCTTGGAACTTGTGGGAGATCCAAGTTCTGTTCTGAAGGGAATTCATATGGTTTTCTACACAAACGTGACTGAAATGACTGTGAAAACATAATGAAAGAGAGAACTGTGATTCTGCACAAATAGCAGTCACAATGTAAAGTGAATGCGAGATTATTGAGGACTCCATTATTTCAGCTGATATTGTGCGTACACGGTGCATATTCCAAAATGATTAAAGGCCCGCGTTTCATTATATCACCACACAGCAAAACCTGCAGAGCATGAGTAATTGCATCAGAGGAAAGTAGTGGAGGTAAATAGGTTGCAAACTTTGAATCCAGCCATGTCAGTCATTCAAGTGAAATAAAGCACGATTATTTCTTTTCTTTTTTCCTTTTTCAAGTTCAACACAGAGGTGGTACGAGATTAAGTGGCACAGTTTGGCTCCAGTTGTCCCCGCAGAGGGAAGGCTCGCTTCAGATCCAAAAATGTGTTTCTGATTGATCACCTTATTTTTTTGTATGAAAAATCCTTTCTAGCTATTATGAGATTTCTCTTATCCAGTATTGCAGCGGGCCCATCCACTGCTCCTTCACAGTCAGCAGATCTCAACCTAATTGAGGGGACATTGCAGTCTGATGCATTCTCCAAAACACAAAAAGAGGGGATGGTCTTTGGGGGAATGGTTTTCCATCCCTCCAGTAGCTTTCCAGACACCTGAAAAATCAATGCCAAGGAGCACTGAAGATATTCCTGTGACACATGGTGGGTGAACACCTTTCTAAAACACTTGATGTTGTTTTTCCTCTCGCTGGTCACAAGCCTATAGCTTCTATTTGTTTACCAATTAGGATTTGAAATAAGAATTACATGACTAGATTGATAAATTAAAATATAATAATCCCATTTAAACAGCGCCATGTGTAGTAATTGCATTCATTAAGAATAGCGTGTGGTGAAATGCAGAAAGACACGCTCACAGTCGTGACAAAAACTTGCCATTACCGAGCAAATGATGGAACATAATGAGATGTCGGCATGCAAAATGTTACTCGAGGAATGATGTTCAGCCTGTGTCTGCTGTCTGTTCTCGCACGCGGTGAAACCCAGCGTGGAGATGGAATGTGACGTGCTATGACGATTTGCTTAATATGGCCAAATAAATGAGATTTTATAAACCTTCTCTTGCCAGAGCTCATTATTGTCAGACAACATCCGTGATAGATTGGCCGTATGGCAGGTTAGAGTGCTGTTGTATCAGGCAGAGAATGTGAGCTGTTGCTTGGGTTTCCCTCTTCCTGCAGTTTACAGGATTAAAATGTCATTTATAGTGTGGGGAGTTATATTATGATGGCTACACTAAGTTTTAAGCTGGTGTAAACCTTCTGACCACAATCTGCTTTTACATTTTTATATTACTCACCAAGCAAGCGTGCCTATCTGCACTGCACATACTGTAAGTCATACTGATAACAGCCGTCATTTCAGCCATTTTTTGATCTTAGTAAAAGCTAATATGTGAGATGAATGTGCAGAAATCAGACGACTGTAGAAGTAAAGCTCAGTTTTCCCTCCAACTAGGTGTTTCATATAAATATGAAATGACTGTACACAGCACTGAAATAACTCCTAAAAAACGAAATGTTTCATGTTTTGTGCTCCATTAATTTTGGCAGAAAGTCATTCACTGGCAAATCAGTTTTTAGTATGCTATCCTGCAAACCGGAGGGCACTGAAATTCCATTTTAATCCTTTTTTTAGGCACAAATATTCAGATATTTATGAGCATCCTTTGTGATGAACTGTGTCCTACAGCTGTTGTCTCTGACATCTCGTATGGACGTCTGGGGATATCGGAAACATGTCATCCGTTCAAAGCAAATCTAATATAAGCTCAGTGGGATTTTAAGCATGCAAGAGACTGTGGTGGAGTGTAAGACTGTTGAGGCATAATTTAGGGGTGCTCAGACTTCATACATCTGCTTTACATTTAACTGAAAAAAATTCTCACTTTTTACTCTATTTAGGATTTTTCCAGTAAAAAAAATCCCAGTAATAGGATATATGGTTCAGTAACACACTGCAGCCCACCTATTACCCACTGGGTAATTGGGCAATAGAGTGTCATGGGTAGTTAAACAGTTATCCCACCAGTGATCCAGGGTCTGATGACTAAAGGCTTCATTTAAACCAGAAGGTCCTAAATGCCTTTATTTCCTGTGTGAGTTTTTTTAAACAAAGATTGATGCTCCAGCTGCTCAAGAATAAACTAAACCAGCTGAGTGACTTTATCCAAGCTAGTGACCCACTAAGAAAAAAAATGAATAGTCAGTGCGGCTGTTGCTCTGGGACACACAGAGGCAGAGCTGAGGAAACAGGCTCAGCGTGCAGGCGAGGTCCCGGGCCTTTTTCATTGTTATCTGACGCGATCGGGGCGCATCTTCAAAGCTGAGGAGATAAAGAGACCGCAAAGACTGAATGGACTCCTGCCTTCACAACGACAGATTGCCGATAAAGGAGACAACTAGGACCAGCCTCTTATCTGCTTTGTTATATAACTAAACGATCAGTTTAGCGGCATTGTCACCGAGCTGCTGCCTGTGGAGATATCTCAGCAGAGAGCCAGTCCCACAGGTTAGGCGCTTTCTCTCGGAAAGCTGTCTGTCTGGTTATTTGGCACCTAGCTGACATGACGCAGGACTGTCATTCTTCAACTACTAGATAGTAGACTACACCAGCGAGTAAAAGCTTATCCTACTGGAAAGCGTTTGGATAGTAAACACCCTTTAGAAGTACTTATTTTTATATTTAATATCTATGTGTGGGGATCAGTTGAATTCTTTTCTCTGGCCTGTTCGCCCTCTCCACAGCTTCCTCGCAGCTTGTTTTGGCATATTTGCATGTGAACGAGGCGACAATCGGCCTTAATTGTGTTGCTACTGTAATGCCTTTGATCTGTAATGTTTGAAGTGCCTGTGCCAAGCGCTGGTTCTTGGGTAACTGGCGCCAGCGCTGGCCGGGGTATCAAACACATGTCAATATGAAACCACTGGAGACCATTGTGTTCTCCATCTGATTGCAGTGGGAGCTTGAGGGTTACAGGCACAAATGTGACGAGAGCGTTAGAAATGGCTCCCCAAATTTAGGTGCTGCCCACACCATCTTGTTTGTTAAATGTTGCTTTCTGCCTGGTTACTATCAGACGTCTCTTAGGGAATTATTGTTTACGCTTCCATCGTGTTAGCAAACTGGATAAGCAGGGAGCTCAGAGGCCCAGCCTGTGATTTCAAATGGAACTGTCATGAGAAATTGAGCAAATACACCTTTCCTCCTTAACAAAGCGCCATAACTGTTTATGTTTTGCGCTTAAAATGGTCAGAAACAGCTACTAAGTATAACTGAAAATGTACCCAATTTGTTTTAACAGTCTTTCCATTTTTATTACTTTATATCGTTTATATTCATGTTTTCATTTTCTTCAGAAACTACTTAACTGAAAGTAATGAAGACCCACTTACACAAATATCAGTATCGAAATATACTTTAGTGCAGAATAATTATAATGTGCGTAATATAATTATCACTAAAGTGTGGGAAGCGGTTTGGGTTAACTGTCATAATTTAAAGAGAATTGGGCAACTTCAAATTCCATGTGCTGTAAAAGTAATAAAAAGGGTTCCAAAATGTAACAATGTTTAATCACCTAAAGTGAAAGTTGCTAAAGCTCATACACTGTGAATCCTGACTTAATGAATCTAATGGTATTATCTAAAAGGAAAACTGAGCTGTAGCTTAGTCTACTGTCTTCACGCGCAGCAACCTGATTTAGCGCCAAAATGCCTGTTAGAAACAACATGGGTCCTTTAATGTTTGTTTTTTTCAGCTGAAATATTAACAAAATATCATATCAACTATATTTATACAAGTAGCAAGGCTCCTAATTTCACTTTGAGTTCAGAGAAATGCAAGGGCTCAAATGTTTCCACAGACTAGACGGCGCCAGGTCTTGACACACTCACAGGATATGTAAAGTCATTATCCCACAATCATTGGAATAGATCAGGCATTAACAAGGGTCCCTACATATGCAAATACGATTAGGGGCTGACCCCCAATAAAAGCCGACCGTGGCCAGCACAGGCCCTCTCAAACTTGGCGGATTTACATGTCACAGCTCCACTATGAACATGGTGAAATACTTTTCTGTGGACTGGCTGGCCCAGAACCATCACAATAACATTCAGGGGCACTGTGCTGACATGGACACGACCCTTACCTGCAAACCTCACATTCCCTGCATGGTGCAGCCAAGCCCACCGCCCATTGGCAAAGGTTACCTGCAGATAAAGTCCAAAGCAGTTAAACGCTTCGAACACTCGGGGCCAGCGGAGAGCTGCGGGGCCGAGGACTCAACACTGTGCTCGCCACTGGATTCATCAAGCTGCACCCCACCGAGTAAGTACCCAACATCTCCAGGCTTTAAACAGCATAGTCGAGCTTTACGCAGAAGATGAGTTTGTAACGGTTTTCCTTCTTTTAGTTTGTGACGTCAGCGAGTACCTCTGCGGGTATGAGAGCGACCGGGTTTCCCCGGATAGACTCTCCGTGGACGAGGGGAACGAGGGGAGAAAAGACGCGGGACCCCAACGCCGAGTTCGCACAAAGTTTTCGTCCGAGCAGATCAAAAAACTGGAACGGATATTCATCAAACAGAAATATTTGGATTCCGGGGAGAGAGAGAAGACGGCACAAAAGCTGAACCTCACAGAAACTCAGGTGAGACGCGCCAGTAAACTCTTTGACATTTTGGATTTATGAAGACGCAGACATCTCCAATTTGCTCAGTGCTGCGGATGCTGACTGAACTGTTTTTGTTTTTTGTTGTGTCAGGTGAGGACCTGGTTTCAGAACCGAAGGATGAAGCTGAAACGGGAATTCCAAGACTATCTCACTCCCCCAGTCCCGCCGGTCATTTTTCAGCCTCTGTCTCCGGTTCAGTACCACAGCATGTATGGACATCTACCCCATTACTCTCCTACGGGCCATCCCTTTTACTCATTACCTGTCCCGCAGTTGCTCCACCATCAGCACATGCCTCCTCACTACCCTCATCGAACAATGATACACCACCCACATTTCTACTGAGGAACTGTCACTTTAGAGACTTCTCTTTACACAAATGAGCCGAAGATGCGCAATCAAAGTTGTTTTTTTTATTTGTGTGATTTTAAATATCTGTATACAATGAAAAGTTTTTGTATGTAATTAAAGAAACATCTATTTATTTTTAATAAATTTATCCCTTAAGCTTCAGCAGTTGACTTCTTTGTTTTTTCTATCTCTGTCCATATTATAAGGATTAAGCTGATGATACATCTTTATTGCAGTATTAGTTCCACATAAATAGCTCATCCTGTCTTTCATCATAAAGGAGGGCGGGTCTGGAAGGACTCAATGACAAAAGGGGGCTAAAGGTCACATCGCATCACTGTATCTCCTCTGATTTGACCATATACACAAATAACAATAGATTAAATCAGGATTCCACAACGTGTCCTGGAAACCCTAAATGACGTCACTTTCTTCTTGTTTTTGTTGCTACAAAGGTCAAATTTATAACAAAAGACCATCCTGTAATTAAAGACTGAACATGTTTGTCCCCACTACTGCACTTCAAATGCAAGGTAACGGGGAGATCATGGTTAACAATTAGTCCTAATTAGGCCTCTCATTGAAGAGTTTACACTTACCACTGGGGCTCCGCCCTGGCTCCAGAGAGTCTGGAGCTTTGTATGGCCAAGGGATCTAGAGGTTAAAACCTGATTGTGTGATGACATCTGGAGATAGTGAGCTCGATTCGAAACTAGTCTGAGATAATTCAATGAGGAGGTCGAGGGCTCCTCTTTAAACTCGTAAATTTACGACAGTTTTTTTCTCTTTTTGACATTTCAATTCATAACCCATGTTGTGTAAGAACGAAGGAATTCACTGGTTCATATAAACGTGCTATAAATGCTCAAATGTTTTGAATTAAGCTCGGCAAAAATGCAAAACAACAACCTGCAGGTTCCCTGCTGTGTGAGGTTTCAAGCTGGCCCGAGGCAAACATCTCAGTCAGCAAAGATCAAAGAAACTTTCTCACTTTCTGTCGATGTTCTCTGACTACAGTCACACACACACTCACCCGGTCCCACCCTGACAAAGGCATCATCACCAGGTTGCTCAATGCGCATACAACATGCGCTAAAGAGCCACCTACACCCTTGATCACCTGAAAAAATATAACAATATATATATGTGTGTGTGTGTGTGTGTGTGTGTGTGTGTGTGTGTGTGTGTGTGTGTGTGTGTGTGTGTGTGTGTGTGTGTGTGTTTTGATGGTTGATAAGTTGATGGTGGTGGTGGTGGGTAGTTGATGGAAACATTGCGTAACTGTATGTATTTTTCTTCTTGACCGAAGGCGGTTAAACAAGTCACACCTCCCACATTTATAGTTATTCTCATCGCCTTTAGTGGCGGATACAGACATGATACTCTTTATGCAGACATCATTCAGTTTGAAATGCCAGGTAAATGAGAGTCAGACTCAGTGGCGCCAGGGCATCCCAGCACGACCTGAGAAAAAGTAGAATCCTGCCTCTATTAACCTCAATTACAACCGCCATCAAGTCCCCATTGTCCCTGTGAGATCGCTTTGCATATGCAAACAAAGAAGTGTGCCCCTCCTATATAGCGGCCAAGAGTCATCCATACAAACACATACTGCTTCAACCGCTGCTTCTATCCACTATGGCTAACTTTTCTGTTGAGTGCCTTGCCAGGAGTTATTATGAGGAGATGACTCCACGGACAAAGGATGCCGCGCTTCATTCGCGAGACATCAGTGAAATCGTGGAATTTACAAAGGAATCAAGAAGTCGATACTCTGCAACATCGCCAAACAGTAAGTTCACAGATAAACCTTTTGTTTTAAGAGCTGCTGTTGATAGGGCCTTTGTGTGCGTATTGATTTTTGACTAAATGAATTCAACTTCTCATCTTTCTCCCCCCAGACAGATGCGACAACTCTTCTGGGTCCGAGAGTGAAGTGGGAGATGACAGCGAGGGGGAGGCCACCCAGCAGAGGAGACTCAGGACCAAGTTCACATCCGAACAAGTTAGCAAACTGGAGCATACTTTCAGCAAGCAGAAATACCTGGGTGCTACGCAGCGGAGGAAAATCGCCGAGGAGCTGAATCTTTCTGAAACCCAAGTATGTTACATGCATGCTTTCCTCAAGGCCTCCTCGGTGGCACTGCAAAGCTTTCCACAAGCACAAGCTGACAAAGACTTTTATTACTATGTTGCCATCTAGTTACCCGATGTAATTCAGTAAATGTAAATCTGTTTCAAAGACTATATAAACATCACAAAAAGTCCCTTTGCTTTGTGTTTGTGCGTAAAGGATAGTACCTTATGGCCTTTTTTGCATCTCACAGGTGAAAACGTGGTTCCAGAACAGGAGGATGAAACTAAAAAGGGAGGTCCAGGACAGAAGGACGGAGTTCCTGACAGTGCAGACCTCTCTTCTGCCTCCGATGCTGTTTCAGCACCCATTCCTCACCGGACAGCTCCCCGCCAGCTGCGGCTTCTACCCGCAACTGCACCCGCTCCCCGCACCTCTGCACCATCACCCCTCCCACCCCGTTCTTCTGCCGCCGCCAAACTACTTCTGAGCTCCCAGAACTTTTATCCCCCAAATTCCTGTCTAGAATCTAGATATTCCTCCCCTCATTGCTCTCTCTAAAAGAGAGATTTTAAAAGTTGTGAATATAATTGCTTTTATTATGTCTGAAGCACTGCACTGGGTATGTTTTGATGTTGTAAGTATCATTCAAATAATGGAAATAAACTTGCTGCAAGTTTTTATGGTTTATGGCAAAAATAAAACAGAATTAAAGTCTTTAAACTGCTTGTGATGGGTTTTTTTCTGTTTTCGACTTCAGGTTCATAGATCGTCATTTTACATGCGCACACTTAAACAAGTAAAACACAAACCACGACCTTAAAAATTCACATAGATTTTGGGCACATTTATGTAACATTTTAGAAGAATGTAAAATCATGAATAAAAGTTTGTAAATGAGAAGAGAGGTTAAAGGTTTGGCTAAGCCCTGATAGATATCCGGGGGAGGGGTGAGACAGTGTGTCGTGTAGAAGCTGTTGTTTTCAGTTTGGATGAAAAGCACACAATAACAAAATGGTTGAATGTCACACAATTCAACCATCCTGTGTGTTGCCATTTATTTCAACAGGAACAAAGTGTGCAGTTCAGTGCGCTTCTCCTCATCATACTGCAGTGTTTCTATCAGTGCCCCTCTCTCACTCCCCTCCTCTCCTGGTTTCCCAGCCTTGACAAGCAGCTGGGCAGTTTTCTAACATCCTCGTTGATACAGAACATGTAGCGACAATGACAGGCCCGTCTGTCTTCTCCGTCTTGTAAATGCAACGACGTGAAGTTGTTGTCCCCTGCTTTTGCCGCTGGCATTGCTCCACGCTGAGCCTGTCCTCCGCTGGTTGTAGATTTTACTTGTTCAAAGGGATATCAGAGCGGATCTAACCGCGAGATCATTGAGCTTCATTGAGATCTATTGTATGACCATTCAGCTGTTCGCACTTACTTGAAAGACAGAGGGAAGGCGCCACTGAGGCTGCCAAAGGTGTATATTGGCTCACCTTAAAGTCATTAGTTGGCTCCAGCTAAATACAGTTAGGTCCATAAGTATTTGGACAGGGGCAGTTTTTTGCAGTTTGGCCTCTGTACGTCACCACAGCGGATTTGAAATCAGGCAACCAAAATGTGATTGAAGGGCAGACTTTGAGCTTTAAGGCAGAACTGTTTTTTGTCCACAGGACCCCATTTCTAGAGGTTCAGAACTCATGGGACCAACTAGCATTATTTTAAATATGTGACGATGTGTTTCATACATGGATGAAGATGCTTTGGAGTCTGTAACTGCCTGAAGTCTGTCCATGGAACTCACTGAATGCTGTTTTTTCTTCCTTCATATGCTCGGCAATAGGCCTTTGCTGCAGTTGTTTCTGTGGCTTCAGTTTTGTCTTCAGTAACTAAAAAGCATGATCTGTTAGACTGAGATCAGGTGGCTGACTTAATTGTTGGAGAATATCAAATATTTATTTGCATTAAGAAACTCGTGAGTTGCTTTTGCAGTAATCTTTGGGTTTTTATCCATTTACTGCTGTCTGATTCATTTAGCAGTATTTGCTTGTATCTGAGCAGAGACTATAGCCATTCAGAATAAACACCAGTGGCAGCCCTATGTCATAACAATGTGTCCACCATGTTGAACAGATGGTGTGCTTCCAATCATGAGCCACGTTTTCTTCTCTATACTTTGCTAATAATGGGAAGTTAATCTCTCCTGATCTGAACTCTTTGAGATGTTTTCTGGTAAACGAATCTATAATCTATCATCTGAACTCTAGAATCTACTCCTCATATTTAAAAGAAACTCCTGGTGATCAGACTCGTGATGTATGTGGATTATTGGTTGGCTCTACATTCAGCAGCACACAGGATTTTCTTAGTTATTTGGCAGGGCCTAAAGCCAGCGCACACAAACAATCACCAAAGAAAATAAATGCTGTCATTCCGCACCAGGAGGCACAATTATGAAAAAAGAGATGATTAGACCTGCAAGCATCAGTAACTAGAATAATGAGAAGGACACATTCATTTAAAGGCTTACTGGACCGCTATTTATGCTGTGCCTCTGTTCAGTCCTCCAGACAGAGGAACGCCTCGGTCTGCAGCATTAGCAGGGATAGTTCCTAGTTGAGACATCGACATCAATCAATGATCCATTGTGAGAGGGCAACGATGTGGTGAATTAAATGACAATGAGTGTTTCCCTGATACCTTTTGAAAAAGGTGAGTAAATAGGTGAAGAGGTGTCAACAGTGGCTGCAGATAGACTGATAGGAGTCCTATTAATGCATTTATCCAAGAACTCCAGCTAATTTTACCCGCTTCCCTAAACCTACACAAGAAACAGCTACTTTTACACTAAAAGAACAACTTTTTACTAATGAAATGTGCTTGACACATTTGGTTTGTAACCCCTTTGAAAAATACCAAGGGTTCATAATTATTAGTTTTTAAGTAAAGCTTTAAAAAAGGTCAAAATGTTTCATTTAATTTTCTTTAAGTTTGAGGCCAAGGAGGTGAAGCCTATCATTATTACAGTGCTTCACAGCTTAACACATTCCAAAATAAAAGCAAAAACGTTTGATGCACATACTTTAAAAAAACCCCTCTTATATGCTTAATTATGTCATGACCCAGATTTTGACTCTCATGAATGGCACCAGCCCCTAGAAATCATATTTTTTGCCTTTTAAAGTTCACTACATTTACAGTGAAGTGTCCATGTGATGCTGTGGGTGGCATTTAGATGGCATGGTCTGGCTCTATCAGCCCCAGCACTTTACAGGGCAGCACTACAGCGAATCGATTCAGTGCCGCTATGCTATGAGCAAACATTCCTCTCTGATGGACGAGCTTGCTTCCCTCCACTGAGTAAGAAGGGCCGTTCAGCAGTTTGATTAGCATGAATTGGTTGTGGCCTTCACATTCTACAAATCTCCACTGCGGCGAGCGCCTATAGGAGATTTTTGATTGACACATTAGACAGTTCTCTCCACTGCCAGCATCAATACATGCAATGACAGAAAATATTTTGGAATAATGAATGCCTTGGAGCACTAAAACTATGCTGTTACCACTTGGTCAAATGACACTTTCAGCCCTTTTTGGCTTGTGACCTCTTACAAAAAAGTAATAAAAAGCACTATAGTTATAGCTATAGTAAAGAGCAACCCTCCTCCATCAAAATCTTTCAGGTTATTTTATTAAAATATCCACTTTCTCGTGTCTCTGAGGAAATCCCCGTATGAGTGTCTTCTCTTTCTCCCTGCTCATTTGATCTATCTCAGACTTGGCAGGTATATTGTTAAAGACCGGACTGTTAATTATTTTACGGCCCCTTTGATTTTTATGACCCTTTTAGTGGGCCTGTGAACCACTGCACTACACCACCTAATTGTATTTATAGTCAAAACAAGTTCCACCTCAACCAGAGAAATGCTATTTTGCTTTTTTTTGCTACCTTTTAATGTTTTGAAGAGTGAAAAAGCAAAAATGATGGAAAGATTTATAAAAAGCACAAAAAGGTCCTCTTTTATCGCATGAAATCAGCAATACTGAGATTTTATGAGCTCATGTCATTTGTGCCACAAAAAACACGACTAGTTATTATTATGTAAAAGTCTGTACTGTATGATTTAAGTGTCCAATACCACAAAAACGTACAGTGCATGCAAATACTTCAAATCCAATGATTAATGGCCCAACTTTCTTTATTCAGCAAATATTCAGGGCAAACACACATGAACAATAATGTCACAGAAATGCAATAAAACACATGTGATTAAGATCAAATTTGCGCTTTAATAAATAAATCAATAATAATCAGAGGGGCATAAAAATACCTGCATCCAGTGTATCACAGTCTGTGCTTTGCAGATTTTCTTTGTAAGCCCAAGACAGGCTGGAATTCCAATGTATGTGTGTGTGAGAGAGTGAGTGTGCGAATGCACACTTTGAGGTCAGCTGTCATGCGGAGAAGATAATGAAATGGCTGTCTGCCTGGTGGAATACCTCTGCAGCCCCATTTTCCCATGCCTTATGCCTCTTTAAAGTTAAATCTCAAAGAAGTATGTGCATAGGAAAAAGGAACAGCGAGTGCAACTAGCCCCACTGCCCCGATTCTGGACACTGGAACCTGGAGGGCAGGGATGACAAAAGGCATAAAGATGCATGACTGGATGCACAACACAAGAAATGACTCTTATATTCTTCTCCTGTCTGACTGGCTAAAATTGCATTACGTCCAGGTATTAAAAATACTGTAATATCGAAATAAAATGCACATACAGCAGTCATACGCTTTATAGTTGCCAAGATGTAGTTTTAATTAAAGGATTAAGTTTATAAAATGCGTGGAAGGCGTGAAGAGGACTTACCCCGTATAGATCTCCATGCATGTCTCCCAGGAAAGCACCTCCTGTTGGCCATTTATCCCTCCACAGGGACCTTGAAGATGTTTAACAAAGACAGAGTAGCTGTTGTGCGTGCTCACTCAGCACTTCTCCTCCCTCTTTGGTTTCAAGCCATGGCGACACATCTGGGAAGATGCCTGTAGACACAGAAAAAAAAACAAACAAACAAATTCTACAGTACAGTGGCATACAAAGGTTGGTTTCTTCTGCAAAAATACTTTGTCTTGTTTTGCTCCAAATCTTTCAGCTACGAGTGAACTTGTTACAGTTATTATCTCCTATCTGACACAAGCTGGACGCCAGAAGCAGCTCACGGAAGAAGGGAAATATTCAGGACGCCCTGTTCCTGATGGTGGAAAAGTTTCTTATCTGTTCAGGGTTTTTTTTTTTCGTTCTCTTTCCCTCTCCCAGAAGAGAGGCCCCCGTGCTTTTTAGAACTCAAGGTCTCTAGACAAGGACTCTCAGGGTGTGCTGAAGTGAGACGCTGACGCACACACACACACGTGCACAGGTTGTGTGGTGTGTAGCTGAGGGAGTGTTATGGCATGTCAAGGCCGGTGCACCAGGCTGAAGATGAAACTGCTCTCTTTTCTCT